ATAAAAAAAAAAACTCCCAACGCATCTATACTGTATTTTGCAACGATTTATCATTTAATAAGCGATGAAAATTATTGAAGACACTATTCTTCCATGCTGTCACCAGATTTATTTAGCGAACTGCTGCAGCCATCAATAAACGATATGTCAACAAGTTGGAGAGGTTGATTAGGAAGCTGTGGATGAAAACCTGGTCCAAGTAGTGCTTCAACATCGTTTTCAAAACTACTTGACAACACTGATACTATTTCTTCGCTATTGTAATTCTCATTCCTGCAAACAGTATCTAATCCATAAAAGAGAAAAAAGAATGTTAGCTAAAATGCGAATTTTTTCACGAAAATTCATATATCAATTAAAATTTTACTGTTGGAAAACATGGTAACGAAAATCAATATAAACTAACACTTTTTGTCGGAAAAGACTTATATACATATATATACATAATGCTTGAAAAGACTTATATCAGGTGGCTTTCAAATTTCTTCCAATAATAAGAGACAACAACACAAAAAAGGCAATTACATATCTATCCCATATTCCTTGTTATTTTCTTCAATTCACCACCATCTCATATATTTTACATATGTCACCATCGTCTTGCGAATATTCGAATGACGTGTATCTGTCTCTCAAATATTATAATCAATAAGACAAATTAAAAATACGTCAACGGACATTTCTGTAGATTGAGTTCGAGCAATTATCTCTCCGGGAGACCAGTCTAATTTAGTATGTGTTGAGAATGACAACAATGGGCTATCTCCACCAGTTTGACATCCTGATCTTCTGCAAAAATCAGTTCTAAACTGTGATTGGTATTTTAAGAAATATTCCAAACAATTTGTTAAATAGGTAAGTATGCCTGATCATAGTTCATGTGAACCACAAAGAGTGGAAACAACAATTGCAAAACTGAAAAAGTCTTAGAAAATTTCTTCCCTTCCCTCCTGCTTTCGTCCTTTTGTTCAACTACACGAAAAGGAAAATTTGTTACCCGCCAGTTTTTGCAACCATGACAATTTCAGACTGAATATAGCCTGTTGGAGACAAAGATTTTTGCCGTTCTTCAGTTTCAAAATATCGCAACATGTCTTCCTTATCAATGTCCGGATACAGATACCTGAGTATAGTATTGTTAGGAGATATGTTTATAAGACGCTTATAAATTTCACCAAACAATTTCAATAAAATGCTCATAATGTTCAATCAGTAAAGATTTAATATTGATAATAATTAAGTACAAAAAAACTAGCCAATTTTCGCATGAAAATCTGTATTATTGGTCAAAATAATTACTTAATATCCTTCAGTTGTGGGCATGATGCAATACGCTGAGCCAAAGAAAATTGATCGAGATCTTTTATGGAGAATGGCGAGAGATGAAAAGGCACTATAAGAAACCAAAATGATTTAAAGGGAAGTGATTTAGATTTAATATTTGTAAAAAATGACTTATAAAGAAAACTAGCCATACCTATGTAAAACATAATTCACTCGAAGTACGATTTAATACTGATGATAACAGAAATAAATTTACCTTTACCATCTTCATCGTCGCAAACAAAACCAATACTAACAGCACCTGTTTGAGTGTCACTAAAACGCAGAAGAAATGTAGAATGTGGAGCCCTGACCATTTGCGACGATGCATCTTGTTTACTTATAAAACCAATTAGCCATCCTACAAGATGACAAAGAAAAACTTTTAAACTAGAAGTCAGAATAAAGAGAATCATATCATTTATTTGACAACAACATGAACACAACTTAAAGATATTCAAATCAAAAAAAAAAGTTGAGAACACACCTTCATCCCAAAACTTCAAAAGTTTATGCTTGATAAGTTGCATAATGGCAAAAAACCACTCCCAGAATGAGAAATTGACGTCGTCTCGCAAATTTTGCTAAATATAAAACATAATAATTACCACACAGTGAATTTAACTCATAATAAAATCTAATTACGATATCTCAACACAAAATAAAACCAGCCGAACATTTTTTGATAATGCTAATGGTTTTACATAAACTGAGAAGATAGAGCTGCATGCCGAAATCATGCTTACCTTCGCAAACCGATGCAAAGTTATTAATTGCCTTTCTTCATTGGTAGGAACCTTTAATTTCTCAGCCATATAAGAAAGGTCTGAATCGCTGATCGCTCGCTCTGCACCAGTGGAGATTGCAAATTTATGACGAAGGACTTGAGCAAGCTCTTTCCATGAGACAGAAGTTATTTCCTGCGACAAAGTCGTACGATTCTGAACAAACGATTAATAAGCTATAACAAATGCAAGTGATGACGAAAAACTGTTATATTACGAACCACATCAGAAAAAGCTCTCTGCCAAAGTATGGCTCCTTGTGCATCACAATCTTGACTTCCATGTACTGTAACCATAATTGGTAATGACAATGTCCAAACATCGAACTTCCCAAGATTGCCGAGTTGAAATGGAGTTATATGAAAAAGTAATGCATATTTCTGGTCGGTCGCTGTCTGTGAATTTACCAACACTTTGCAGTCCCCTTGTCCTCCTCCTTTTGGTGGCGGCTTTCGATGTGCAATACGCGTTAGCTTCTATAAAGTCAGTTGTTGCATCAAGAAGATAATATCAGTTAAAAAAAGTAACTTCATCAGAGTATTGGATTTCACAAATAATGAGAACAAGTTAACTGACTCTACTCTGCATTAAGGCTTAGAAAAAAGAAATCATCAACAGAACATGTGCTTCACTAAATAACTAGATAAACCACGGCGAACTGGTGAATAGCTAGCATACCTACACGGAAATAAATTGAATATCACAAAAACTGAACTTACAGAATTGCTAAATTTTGCAGACATGTGAGCTTTATCGTCAGTAGTTATTTTCTCAAAATCGTTGCTAATAGAGCCAACGGTTTTACTGAAAACATAAAAATAATCGCCCTTCAAAAAACTACTATTGAAATTGACTAACAAACTCATCTGAATCACTTTTCCACACACACAAGTAACTTACACATCTTTTTCAGACAGCTGTGCAGTGCTAAGCAACCGAGCTTCTTCCTCAGCAATGATCCGAACAGTAACATTAGTATTGACGAGATGTTGTTTGATGCCCAATTTGTCGCCAATAAGAAGTCTCACCTCCGCAAGAAATTTATGCTGCGTTTTCAAGACTGGTTCAGGTTGGACAGCAACAACAAAACTTTGAGAAACCAACATACACAGCAACTTTGTTAGATTATCTAGCACCGAATTCAAATTTGCAATGTGCGTCTGCGCCGCATGACCATTCATTTGTGGTCCTGAACAAGCCTTTAAATTACAATCTATTAGTTCTTAATAATCCTCAGCTAATTCGCTGTCATCAAACATTTACCATGTATGTGCAGAATATGGACAAAATGAAAAACTGCAAAACACAGTCAAAAACAAAAATAAACAAAATCCTCGTTTCAAATTGAGATCAGTTTTTTTCCAAAAGAAAGAAAAAACGCCAACCTCGACGAAGCAAATCCATTTGCCAACATGCATATGTTCTCAACTGCCAGTTTTGTTCCGCTAACATTTCAAACCTTCAAAAAATAAATACGTTTGCAAAATGAAATTGGCTACAAATAACAACATCGATATTCGACCGTAGAGAAAATTTTAATATAGAAATATTATTTAGCAGAAGCCTCCTGTGCTGGATTTCACACGTCCATGGACAGGAATGCCATATATAGTAACCCATATCATTGTTATAAATATATAAATACCCATTAGCAGCATGAGATATCAAACTTCATTTCTCATTTTAGCATGTAATGAATTAGATTTAACAACAATAAAATAACGAAAATAACGAGTATAGTACTCAGCATTACGCAAAGAAAGGAAAAGAAAAGAGAAAAACTTAACTTAGGTTGCGTTAAGAGACAATAGCAATTTAAAAATGACAAGTAGAAAAAGGGACAGAGAAAGAAATGCTTACTCTGTTTGTATTTCATCAATCATATGATCACGTTCCTCAAATGGCACGCCAACTTGCTGAAGTTTTTGTCTGTTTTTCCAGTCATACAGATAATCGCTAATCAGTTGATTTTGCAACATTGCGACATTATGCACTCCATCATTTAATTTCTGCGTTAGATTACACCTTTTCTCCATAAGTGTATTGTACAGCTGGCTTGCACGTTTCTGCATATCATTCACTGATGTCCGTGCTTGTGATAATTTATCGTCTCTATAAATTCGATTTACCTAGTATGGCGAAAGTAATTTTGAGGTACAACTGAATGCGACAAAAAATAAATATAACTAAGTGGAAAACTGACAAAATGACGAGGTGTAGTTAAATAACCCCCCGATGTTTTCATTCCGGTAGTTATCTTTTCATTATCTTCTCTTCTAAGCTTACCGCACCATACAAACTCATAAAGCAATCCGATTATCTCTTTAATGTTTTTTCAATGTAACAAAAGTGCCATTCACAAAACCCATTTTTAATATATACTAAGAAATATATATGTTGTACAAATCTAATGACTTGTTTGCATGTGACATGCATAATACATGCTTGGAAGAGATAGCATTATAAGCCATGAAAATCTCAAAATACAAACAATATAGTGCTGAGACATACCGATGATCACGTTCAAGTTGACTCACAGCAAGCTGCATTCGATGCAATTCAGTCAGATCATTCACGAATCGACCCTGCATATCCTTATTCTCTTCCCAAAGCGTGTGACATTCTTTTGTCAGATCAAGCAACGCTGCTTTGATTTCACCGTAGCACAACATTAGATTTAATTTACTGGAACATTCTTCGATTATTTTGCATAATTCGATGAACACATTCCCAGCATATAAAACAACCAGCAACCGGTCACATCAACATAATAAAGTTATACACAGCTGGCGAGCTCTCTTCTACATCTGCACGGACACATTGCATAACGCTGATTGCTGTGGCCACATTTCTTACAAGTTGGCTAATTTGCTTTTTGTTAGGAAATGGGGGATGTTCGAGATTGCTTTGGTTGTGGGATTCGTGGTTCATGTTTGGGTGACGGAAGTGCGAGAGTTGAGCCAGTCGGGTATCGTCTGACGTACTTCCTTTACAAGAGATATAGCACGGAAGTAATATGCTGAGATTAGACCCAATCATGGGAGTCCTAGGTACTGGAAAAAAAAAATGTGAAATGTTTTTATATATCATGATAGTTGTGGGATGGCACTATATGTCTGAAATATCTGCCTTGAATTCATCTGTTTTCCAAATTTTATTGCAGTGGTTATCAAGTGTCCTCTATCTTCTCTGAAGAAATTAACGGTAATGGCGGAACAAATGCAATTGAAAGGAACTTTAAAAGGTCACAATGGATGGGTGACACAAATAGCAACAAATGCTCGTTATCCGAATATGATCATTTCGTCTTCTCGAGGTAGGAATTATTTCTACTGTTACTTAATTTTCATATTGCACATCAGAGATTGCTCTAGATGTTTGTCGAAGTTAGCAGAGTCGCAACAAATGGATAAATTCCAAATTACAGCGAAGGGTGTTTTTTGAAGCTTTAAATTAGTTTTAAAGGCATTATGTCAGTACCTTTCGATTGCGAATACCTTTATCTTTTGAAAAAGCTTATATAAGGCTATTTGTAATCATATCATGATATAAGGCGAGCTGTAATGGTCGGACTATCCAGAAAGTGTATTTCTGGTTTTTAATATACATTTAAAGTTTATCCTCCTTCATTTACTTTGATTTTCATCCCAAGAAAAGATTGACAGTTTTTGTCATTGCCCAAAAAGTAAAATGTGGTAGTGGAAATTATAATTGGGAGATTAATAAGATAGTGAAAAATTAAACTGCAGTTTTTCAGACAAAACAATAATTGTGTGGAAATTGGATGCGGATGATTTGCCAGGAAGTTACGGGACTCAGTTAGGAGGAAAAGCTGAAAGAGCATTGAAGGGTCATGGTCACTTTGTTTCTGATGTTGTGATGTCATCTGATGGTCAATTTGCTCTTTCTGGCTCATGGGACAAGACGCTACGACTGTGGGATCTTACTACGTAAGTCAAAATATTGCTAATTATTGGAAGTATTGTGTATATATTACTAAATACGAAAAATAGAGCAGGTTGTGAAGTTATTGTTATCAACTTTGCATGATTTATTGTTCAGCTATACTTGGAGGAAAACCATATATAATCGATGCTACTCTGGGTATTAATTTCGACTGGATTTCATATCAGCAAAATTTATCTCTGTCAAGCAATACTTTTGGGAATCCAACTTTCAGAGGTATAACATCAAGGCAGTTCGTTTCACATACAAAGGATGTATTGTCTGTCGCGTTCTCTGCTGATAATCGACAGATCGTGTCAGGATCACGAGATAAAACAATCAAACTGTGGAACACTTTAGCTCAATGCAAATATACAGTTAATGTATGTATTTTGAGTGCTGGAATGTAGGGTGAGATTTGAAAGCTCTGAATTGAGACTGTGCAATACTTTACAAATATACTGCTTTTTGTAATTCATTTTGTGCAATGTCAGAAATGGAAGGATGTCTTAATCTGTTATTGTGATATATAT